CTCCATCCAACCTGGCCTTGAACACTGCCAGGGATGGAGCATTCACAACTCCTTTGGGCAACCCATTCCAGTGCCTCACCACCCTCACTGTAAAGAACTTCTTCCTTATATCTAAACTTCCCCTGTTTTAAGTTTGAATCCATACTGATATACTTTATTAGTACGGGTTGTAGACTTCTGGCATTTCATTTACACATAAACAGGCTGTCTTGTCTCATGTCCTGGAAATACTGACTGTAATAAAACCTTAATTTTCTTTCATAATAAAACTTCTACTTGTTGGATAAAGCATGGAGATACTTGTTTCCCCTGCCCTCCCCACCTTTTCTCAATTTGCTCATCATTTGTTTCAGCTGTTGTGGAGCAGGAACAGCTGCAGATACTGATATGACGACGCAGCTGATTTCTTCCAATCTGGAGCTCCATTCACTATCGACTGGACGACTTCCAAGGGTGGCCACAGCTAACCGAATGCTGAAGCAAATGCTTTTCAGGTAACCAAATGGATTTCTTCTTTCTTTATTAACAGTGCTGCTGAAGTGTGATTTGTGTGTGGTTTGCTGTTCCTCATGTAATCATGTTGAGGAATTACAGCTTCATTGTGGACTTCTGATTCACATATCAACATTGCTCCCAGGTATCAAGGCTACATTGGTGCAGCCCTGGTTCTAGGCGGTGTAGATGTCACGGGCCCTCACCTGTACAGCATATATCCCCATGGATCAACTGACAAATTGCCTTATGTTACCATGGGTAAGTGATACTTCCTCTATATTGTAACACAACTGCCTAGTAAGAAGAGTGACCACTTCAAATTATTATTTAAAGTGTTTTCACTTAAATTCCATTGTTCACTGGGAGCTGTACAGACCTCAAAGATAAAGCCATACCCTTATTTGTAAGGCAGGTCCACTGCTCTTTCTTTTATAACATTTTAAAAACATGAGGTATTATGCTATTTAAATCTAAGCTGCCAAAAACTTGCTATTAGGAAAGTTGCTCTGTGTGTTCCCCAGCATACCTTTAAGTAAGAGAATTGTGGGATTCCAGAAACTTGCTGTAAAAAAATAAATACATCCTTAGAAACTTGATTTGTAGATAGTCCTAACTGATAGCTCACATGAAGTCTCTTGAGTAATGTTCTGCCTAAAATTTTTCTGTAGCTTCTTGGGGGGGGGGCGGGGAATGTGATTTGTTTCTCCTTTGTTGTATTTCTTGCTAAGAAGCAGCTGTATTTCACTCGAGAAGGGTTTTCATTGTAGTCAAGCAACACCTGGTTTACTTGGTACATACAATAATTGGTCTAACTATTGCATGGAGCTGCTCTATAAAGAGGTTTAGTTCTGTCTATTGCTGGGGTCAGCTTAAAATTGGTAATCCACCATCAGGTTATGGAGTGTTAGTACTCCAGCTCTGCTGCCTGTGTAACATTTTCTGCAGTAGCAGTGATTTGAGCTATAAGTATATGTAGTTCTTATTCAGTATATGTATATAGGTATGCCTTGTTCAGTTTTGAGTTAGAGACCGTGGTAATATTGAAAGCTGAAGCCACAGATTTTTGCATGTTTTTCTGGCATTTAGGTACTACCCTGTCATGACCAAGTACAAAAGCAATGCTCAGAATATATTGTAAAATATAATCTTGTTAAATGTATTCTTATTTGGTGTGTTTTCAACTATAAACAAGAATATAGGATAGCATGGAAGTAAGTACTTCGTGGTAGCAGAATGTAAATCATAAGTAGCTTTTTGGAGTATCTTGTCTTCCTCAGTTAAAAAGCAGAAACATTGCTCTGTTACTACTCAGCTCTACAGAGGAGATGATGAATAGCTACAGATGTTGCAGTAGCAATAATTTCAAACTGTGAAGTGGCTTTTGGGTGTGTGCCCTTTACCTGTGATCTTGCTGAACAACCCAGTTAGACCTCTTATGAGTATATTCAGGAAGACAATGTAACACACAAAATCTTCAATAATCTCTAATCTTGATGTGTGAATTTAACCTGTCTTTGACTGTGTTCTCTAGATAAAATTGCTTCTTTAGGCATCTTGGTTTGTTTCTTAATTATTGAGGGATTCTTAGAGGAGTCCCTGTAGTAAGAATCCCAAAGTAATACACTGTAATAAGCTTTACAACTTGCAGGAGAGCTTTAGCCATCACCATCACCCTCTTATTTTTTTGAGAAAGGAAATAACACATACACTGTTGAAAGAAAAGACACACATCCTGAAAAATTACAGAACTTGCCTAGTCTCTGGTAAAAGGAGTGTTTTCAATAGTAGTGTTGACTTGTTTGGTTCTGAAGTGACTTAAAGGCAATAATCTGGAAGTAAAAGGTAAAAAATACTAAGAGAGAAAACTTAGTGCCTTCTGAGCTACTGATACTCTTGTGCAGTTTCATCTGTGGTGTTTAAGGTTAATGCCCTATTCAGGCTATCATATATCTGAAAAAAAGTAAAACTTCAAACATGGCCTGGGTTGCAGTTGGTTTTGCTCTCTGATGACTCCAGAAGATAGTGTATCATTTCAACCTTGTGTTTCAACTTGACGACTTTTGATTTTAAATGAAAGCTTGGTTTCAGGAGAGCTGTGGAAGTGTAATGTAGAGTCCAGATAAATACATCTAAAAATGAAGTCAGATTCAGCCTATGTTTGATGCAGCTTTTGTGCTGTCTCCGTGATGGGGAAATAGACCTTTAATTTTATTTGTCTGTTGTGTTCATGGTTGGCATCTTTAGATAGAACACCTACCTACTATATTCTTGGAAGTGTTAAAGGTCTGTCTTCTGGATCTTGGCACTACTGAAGCAGTGCAGCTGTTTAAACTGAATCATCTGGTTAACTCTGTCATGAGAACTCTGATTTTATCATACAAATCCTGCAGAGGTGGTTCTGGACCAATAGATGGTGCCAGTGCCTCAGGAATAGGGAAATCAGTTACTTGGCAAATAAAATCCAAAGAACAGTCATGTGATGTCATTGTTTAGCCTTTGATACCTAAGAAAAGTAAATGCCTGATTTTATATCTGCCTTATACCCAATATTGTAGTGAACTAAAAGTATAACTGGCTTTATACTGATAGCTGCTAGTAGGGGATTGACTGAATAAACTTGCAGTTTCCATTTTGTACGTGGTTACTTAATGTGCCTGTGTTTTGAAAGCTTTAAAGTGTGGTGTTTCTGAAAATCCTGGCCACTCCTCTTTCCCACCACAAAAATAACATGGTAGCAGAATAAGTGCAAACAAGGAAGTAGAATATCAGTAGATTTTGTTCATTGTAGCTTAAACTTTGATTTGCTGTCAGCTGTATCAGGTCTGTGTCTGGTGATTACTTGTCACTTTTGGCTGTGCTGTCAAACAAAAGCCCTTCTCAGCATAAATGTTCTTTACCTTTCTACACCTGGTTCACTGACATTTTCTCCACTGACTGGGATATATTTTAATAAAAAGATTAGCTTGTGCCTGTAAATGAACCACAGAACTAAGAAAGCAGAAAAAGTATCAAAGGTCAAATCAGAGATGGTTGAAATTGTATTTTGGTCTAATTTAGATTTATCTGTTATTTTTTTCCCAAGTTTTCTAAGAGCAGTCTGTTAAATTAGGTGTTTTTTGCTAGTTAGTTTTTGGAAATTGTGTTGAATAGGAAAGGTGATTGAGGTGTTGGCTTTTTTGTTTATGTGCTGGAGTGTGTTTGTGGATGAACAGAGTGGTGTCCTCTCTTGCAAGGGAGATTTAAAAGATACTCAGTGCTTACTCAGGAGTGAAAACATCAAATTAAACTGTTTATGCTGACAAAGGACAAAATTGGATTTCAGCAAACGATGCAAGATTGTCTGATTGCTTGGCTTGTCTAGGAAAGCTTCTGGCCAAGACTTATAATGAAATGCATGCATAAAATTAAAGCACTTGAAGTCTGTAGTTCAGCTTTTGGAAGCAGTAGGTATGTTCCAGTAGTCTCTAGTGGCTAAAGCGAGTCCCCTGGCACCAGTGTTGCTTCATATTCATAAATCAGCTCTTCAGGCATTGGCAATGTCGTCCTGCAGAGCAAGCACTACCACTGCTGAGACACAGCCCCTCAGCCAGGAACCAGGGTGAAAAATGATCCCAATCGATGGGGCTGTGGAGATCACTGAATTTTTGCCTAGAATGAACAGCAAATTGAATAACAATGAGTGCATGTGAATAAATGCCCTGTCAGGGAGCCCTGACAGTGATGGATTAGGAAGTGCTAAATGTTACTCTCTGAAGGCTCTGTACATCCTCCAGTGTGGCAGGCTGAGGTAGCAAACAGGTCCTTGGGTGATGAAAATGGACTGTGCTTAGCAATAAGAAGTTGTCTTCAGTGAATGTTCTGCTAAAAAGATCCAGTTCATCTGTTTTAGAAAAGCTACTGCAGTTGCAAAACACAGTGGAAGTTACTGTTGGCTGGATTATTTTCTTGCTATGTATCAATAATTATCTTTCACTTTAAATCAATCCTGAAGTGGCACAACTGCTCAAGGAGACAGATGGGATTTTAAAAACGAGTTTATTATAGTTGAAACCAGAAAATTTTTAATAACTTGGTTGTAAAGAAATCTCTTGGTCTTATAACTTACCTGGTTCATGCTGATTATCAGACTGAAAAGCATTTGCCTTGGAACACAGTTTTGTGTCTTGGTTTCTGTAGTTTGGTATAACTTGTTTGGCAATCAATATTTTTTTTTTTTTATATTTAGAGGCTTTCTGAATATTAGTTTCTAAAGCTTACTGAAAATACATGTTAAAAACGAGGTTTTGGAATTGATATGGCATTTTTTCTTGATGACTGTTTCCAAGGCTGTTGAAGTGAAACCATTCACAGCAGTTAGTGGTTTTTAGAAATCTAGCTGAAAGGGTTTGTTTTTTTCCCCTGCATGTTGTATAATACAAATACATGACAACCAGTTATATTTGGTTTAATTATCCCTATTGATTTGAGGTTGAACTGCTGCATCGTAGCAGTGTTGAATCCTAACTGGTAGTGATTTAAATCAGTTCTTCCGGATGAGGTGGGAACATCGATCCCTAATTAATGGATGGTGTTTTGCAATGTTTGGATTTTATCTTTCTCCAGACATTATGTTTGGGAATTGTTAAGCTTGTTTCTACATAAAGGCAGAGCATGCTTATTAAAAATGAATTATTGGTGGGCACTGAATATATGGACAAGAGAACAGCTGTTTCCCCATGTACAAACAAGTTCTCCATAGACCTTTAATATCTTAAGTTTTCTGTGCTTTTATAGGTACTGCAATAAGAAAACCATACTTGCAGTGTTTACTTAAGTTCACAGCTTTTATTGCCAGTTCTCCTGTTACAATGCATGGCTTTCACAAGTTAGTTGAACTACTTAGAACATTGTGGGGTTGTTTGGATCATATGTGGAATTTGACAAGTGGAGGGAAGTCAGTGTAATTGGATAATGAAGTTTGCAACTCATGAGCAACTGTCCACTGCTGGTTTCCTGCATCTCTGTGGATGGTCAAGTGAGGGGGTTGCAGCCCACCACCAGTGCAAATAGGGGGATCAAGGGGCTTTATTAATTAACATGCTACAGGTGAATGCATATCACTAGTGGTTTTCAAAACGGTTCCTATTGCTGTTGTCAAACAGCAGATGATTTGTTTTGATGGAGAAACTGAAGTATATGTCTATTTGTGTTTCTAAAAACACGCTGTTTACATCTGCTGCTAGTAAGGGTAAAGAATTTTCATTGTGCTATTTAAGATTACAAAACTGAATGCTTCGCTGTGCTGTGAGACTTTTACTAAGGTACTTTCTTTTAAATGCAAGCTCATAAAGCTTATGTTTAGGATTTATAAACAGGAGAGGGAAAAAAACAAACAGGTTTATTCAGCTTTTCCAGCTTTACTTCATGTTCTGTTAGACCCTCTGTGCGATCTTGGTTTTCAGATGTAAATGTCTACATGTAGGTTTAATTAAATCAGGACTTTCAACAGCTCTTAGAAAACTTACATTATAGGACTATTTGCATTTATTTAAAGTTGATACTAGATTTGGCATTTATTTGTGTCTTGTTAAAATAGCGAGATAAATATAATTCTTCGTGCATAAAGGATTTCCTATAATACGACATAAGGGAGGGGTGGGTGGGTGTGTGTCTCCTTTTTCCTTTTCCTTCTTCGTAAGTCTGCTGAGTTCTGGCCCGTAGGTTCTTTTGGACACTTCCTTTAAAAAGGAGCTGGAGGAATGAATCCAGTCTGAGCCGGGAATGGGATTATTGCAGTATTTGTTAGTGATAATTTTTATTTGTCAGTGGAAGCTGTAAGAAATCAAGACCACATATTCTTACCTCAGTAGCTAATGTAGTAGCTTGTCAGATACTACCTGTTATACTTTCATTCCTGCAAATTTTTTTTAGTCTTTATGCTCTAATTTTTTTCAAAGAACCCTTATCAAAGGCTGATTGTTTCCTAGTTTTGAGCCTTCCCATCCTGCTTATGGTAGGCCTTCATTTGAGTGTAGTAGGAATGTGGTCTTAGTTTGAGATCATATCTCAGGTATTTTTCTTCCCTCATTAGAAATGTTTTATGTCATCCCACGAGAAGAATTATTTTATGGTTAAAATCCTGTATTTGTTTTGGAACACACCTTATTTTGACCTTGTTTGAAGGATCAGTAAAATTCCTTTGACTTGTGATTTGTTCTGTGATACCAGCTGTTTGTATCAGCAGTTCATTTCTGCTATTAGTTGCTTAAAAATCTTCTTTATTCCCAGTTTCAGCATTTAAAAAAAAAAAATTGGAGTCGTGTGTTGCTCCAAGGTGCAAATGAATAGTCATTGCCTGTAATACAAGTACACACTTAGAGTGTCCTACTGCTTTTAGATGTGATGTATTTGGTACTGTAAAGGTAATGATCCTCAACCACAGCAATATTCTGTAACAGGAGTATCTGTCATATTCATTGGGATTACCATGTTCATTGATTTGTGTCTGTAAATCTGCTGTTTCTACCCTTTAAATTTGATCTATAATTGGACCTCCTTAAATGGTTCAGATAAGGTAGTCTGTATTTTCTCAACAGTGTCACTGTCAGCTTCTCCTTTTTCATTATACATTCAGCAGACTTGATAAAATCAGCAGGACACCTCATTTGAAACTGTTTAATCGCTGCCTTTTTCTTTCACTAAACCATTGAGGTGGTCAAGTGATATACACAAATCATTTTAAATAGAAAATATGGCTTTCTCTGTGACCCAGCTAAACAGATAGCAGTATGCAAAACAAGTTAAAAAGTAATAAATGCCAAAAAATCTTCTAATTGGAGTAAAAAATTGCAGGTAACTTTATTCACTCCCCAAAAGTAGTGCTCTCTGAAATATGGTTAGGGCCACAGACAGACAAGGTATCTTCCTAAAGACTCACTCTTTCTGAACAAAGGAATCTTACTGTTTCAGATGGTGTCATACTGCTTTTTGTATTAATTTACAGAAAGCACATTCATAACACCTGCATTTACAGTGCTTTGGGTAGAGATGGCTTCTCTTCTATTACTACACTTGCACTGCATCCTTAAAGAGAAGTAACGTTAAACTCATGTTTTCATATCTGTCATTTTGTCTGTTCAGCTGTTGCTGTTCAGTGTAAAAATAATGGCACAAAGTAAATGCATAATAAACTGTTTAAAAGAAGATAAGGGAAATAACCTCACGGCAGCAGCCACTACCCTATTACCACTGGTAGTTTACTCATCCCCATGTGTAAAGGTGACTGTGCCAGGGCAGCTCGTTAAAGCAATCTATTCATTCTGAGTGTCCTTAGTATTAAGTGACATACTCTCTAATGTGGCCAGGCACAAAAGTGGGGCAGGAGAAATGGAAGAGTAGGAATTACAAACTGTGGCATTTGGTTAATGCTCTTTTTCTAACTCATTTTTGTATCTTGGTATTCAAAATAGTGGAAAGAGACTGTCAGGATGGACACAGGTCTGTGTACCCTGGCTATGAATGTAGAATTAAATTAGGTTCTGGACTTGGGATAGACACTTGAGAGTGTATAATAAGCTAAGGTAGACTTCAGTCTGGTTTGTGCTGCTGATGTTTATCTCTTTCTTAAGAAAATACTGTATCGAAATACACTGGCTAAAGTAGTGTCCTAATTCTGTTGCCATAGGTTCTGGGTCACTGGCAGCTATGGCAGTGTTTGAAGATAAATACAAACCAGACATGGAGGTAAGAATTTTTCTTTTAAAACCTCAGTTTTCTTCCCTCAATAACTCTCATGATTATAAGAAGAGGTTTGAAGCTTTAAATAAAATTAAATCTGCTCCGTTTTCCCTGCACTTAGAAGGTACTAATGTCAGCTTACTGCAAAGCTGTAAAAATTGATGGGTAAAATGAAATTTAAAGAAATACAGCCTATTGTGGATTTGTATACAGCTTGTCTGATTTGAATGTAGGTGAAAGCTTTAAAAACATAGTTTGCTGCTTAGAGTTGACCAGGAATTTAACAGTACTTGCCTAGTCAATATTGCAGTCTTTCCACCAGTAGTCAGACCCCCTCCTCTCTCGATCTTGAAAAGAGAACACAGGGTTGTAAAACCAACAAGAAACATTCAAGTAGTATATGAAACTGGTTAGATTTCTGTTTGATTGGGTATGTTCAGAACTAGTAAATGCACTTTCATTATTGTTATCTACTTAAAAGCTGAATATCAGAAGATTTACAAGGTTGTGGCTTGTTTGTGTTTTGCTGAAGATCTTGATTAAAAATTGCAAAATGTTTGGTTGCTCATTATAGAGAATCATTCAGGGAGCTAAAAGCTGGAGTTGCTGTGATTGAGATCAGAATAAGCTATCCAGTTATGTGTGTGTGCAGCACATTATTATCTATAGTATTTCCTTACACTTAGTTACACCATGTTCAGTGCCTGTTAACAGTGAAAAATCCAGTTGTCTGCAGACAGACTATTGATGAAAATAAGACAAAACAATTAAAGGGCTTTCTGTAACTGTGTTTTGTAAAATGCCTCAGTAGCGTCAAGCCCTTTTTTAACCCATATTAAGCTCTTTAGACTTTCTGTGAATGCTTCTCACTCCAATTGATTAATATTTTCACAGTAGAAAAACTGAATTCAACACAAAACTGAAATTGAACCCATTAAAAATTACTTGTAACACAAAATGTTGCAATCACTTCAGCCTGAAATGCAGATAGAATGAATCTTGCAGGTATTGAGTGGCACTGAGTAATGTGGAGAAGGAAAAAGTTGATTTCTTTGTGAAAAGATTTTCAGAAGTTCCTCATCTTCGTAATGCAACTGATGTGGGTCATTTTCTCCCCTTCAATGCACAGTATTTTCAGGTGATGGTTCCATAAGTCCACTGAGTTCCTCTAAAGTTGATCACTTTTAAGAATTCAAATGTAATTGATGGCATACTCTGTCACATCTGAAGACGTATGGTGTGTAATACCAGTTGATTGAAAGAAACTCCAACTTCTTTCAAGTTTTCCAACAGTTAAACTGTAAGAGTTAGTAATAAGCAGTTTTCCAGTTATTCCTGGAACTGGCTCCTTCCTGTAGATATGAAATAGTTGTAGGTGTGCAAAAATGCAGTAAGATCAGGATTCCTGTGTTGCTGTAGTGGTTTGGTGGTATCTGAAGACACTGGACTTCTGGGCTCTAGTATATCTATAAATGCTACCAGAAATATTGGAATATTGTTAATAGGCACTCAGGTTTCCTCTGTAAGTGGCATTACACTGCATGACTGATAAAGAACCACTAGATAGAGGTTTTTCCCTCTCCCCTCATGCCTCTCAAGAATGACAGCCTCTTTTTCCAGCCTCTTGTGTGACCGTGCACTTGGCATGTGTGCTATTCATACTGAAAACATGAACTACAAATCCTTGGAATCAACAGCTACAGCATAATAGTCTGCTCTCAAAGCTACAAATGTCAGAGCTGTGCTATGAAACTAAAAATTTCATCTTATTCTCAGCTAGTTTTCAAACTTGTATTTTAAAGCATTCTTTGTGTAAGAGCAACCAAAAAAGGCACCAAAAATTGGTAAATCTCCAACTTCTTTATTTGAAAGGTCATCCTAATTAGATTGTCTTCATAGACAACCGTAAATGGCAGCAGATATTCACTGTTGTAACAAGCATGTAGAAATGCGGCCTACCAATTTGTTGAAATAGATATTTAGATCTTTGAGACTTGGGTGCACCTTAACCCTTCCTTTGTTTTTTCCAGATTCCATTAATAACAGAATATTGTTAATAATAATTTGGTAATCCTAAGAACTAAACAAGCAAAGTTCCAGGTGCTAAGTTCAACTATACTCTTAAATGCTGTTTCATAATTTGTTATGGCTGCCAGCCTAAAATATTTACCTTTTAAGTCAGATGTGTTTTGGGTTTTTTTTTTTTTCCAGTAAAGTAACAAAATAATGATATTTCTCTTGAAATTAAAACAAATTAAATCTGAAGTACGCTGTGTACATCTTACATAAAACTTGCTATAAAATGGCAATGGTGGTATAAAATTCTTGGAGATTAATTTAATAAAATGGGTAGAGGATTAATATTTCTCTGTCAAGATCAATGCTGCTTTCTCTTGCACTAATTGTCAGAATATCTTGCTAGGGCTACTGGAGGGTAGTGGTGTGCTTCAAGACCATCACATCACAGAAAAATGATTCAAAGGCAAACTGTCCTGCACCCTCTGGTATCAACTTGCAAATTAGCATCTGGAATGTAATTAAACAAGCTTAATGAAAGTAGCAGCTGAATACTACTGGAAAAGACAATCAGCTTTTTTGCCTCTGATATATATTCTGTACTATTGAAGCTGATCACCAAACGCATTGTGTGAGCACAGTTAAAAAAATTAGCATTTATTTGAAGAATAGGAACTGTTTTTCATTCTGTTATGCTTTTGGCATGCACTGGTGTCCCATGAGAGCCATGCCACAGCAGATAGTGCACAATATTTATAAATCCATGACAGGCAATAATAGCAACTTGAAAAATTCTTTTGCTAGAATTTCAAGTTGAGAGCTGCCAAAAGCTGAGAGGATCAAATCTGCAGTGGCAGCTGCTGTGCCCTACAGTTAGAATTGTAGACTTTGAAGATGCTCAACTTAAAAAAAAAAAAAAAAAAAAAAAAAAAATGGAAAACCTAAAAAAATAAATAAAAAAAGAAGACTGCAGGCTTAGCCAATTTTTGCAGGTTTCTGGAGCCCTGGCTCTCTGCCTTTTGAAGATGAGTTGCTGAAGCTTCTACCACTGCCTGAGGCATGCTAACACCAGCAGGATGTGTTTTTTTCCATAGACTTAGTGTGTCTTCAGATTTAAGTAGCACATGCTTTATCAGTGCCAACTGTGATGGTCCTTTCCCTGGTTGCAATGCTGGGAGATGATCTTTACCCAACATCCTTCAGAGGAACTGCTAAGATAGATGGTGACGTACACAAGTGCCACTTCCACAGTCTGATTTATGGAGGCATGTTTCATTATGAAGCAAGTGCTGGCCTCTAGAGGAACCATTATAGATTGCTGAAGATGTGAACACTTTCAGCCCTGAAGGCCTGTAGATGCTTCAAAAATGTAATGCCAAGCACCTAACTACTGTGGAACAATATTAATCTGTCATGTGGGCAGCTATAGATCTACTTTAAAAAACATAAGTGGAAGAACAGCACATCTAATAGAGTGTTTTGAGCTTAGATCTTTCATTGGAGCCAATTTTTCTTTCAATAGCATTTTGGCAGAGTAGCCACATGGTTCTTAAATGTTAGAGTCAGATTTTTGCAAATGCATTAATGCCTTTTGGTGTTAAACAATAGTGAAGAAATATTCTGAGGTGGTGGATATGGAAACCATCATGACCTAGGGAAAAAAGTGTACAGTGTTAAAAGCTGGAGTTCTCGGTTATCTATACTGTGGTTAAGTTCCTAGGTAGATTGGGGGGTATTATGTAATTTATTCTGGTATTTGACTTGAGTTGCTTGAAAAGTAGAAGCTTTTGGTCTGCAGAAGTGTGTGATGTACATTGAGGCTGTGTTGTAGCTTTCTGACAAGAGCTTTATGTTTAGACAAGGAAACAGGCTGCTTGTAACTTTATTTCTGTATTTAACCAAAACAGCCAGGTTTAATTAAAAAAAAAAAAAGGATTCAAAGTGAAGAGAATCAGTAGAAGCCACAGAAAGCAGAATTATTGCAGGGAAAATGAGGTAAATTTATGTAATGAGTTCATGGACATGGAATAGGTAGGAAAAAAAAGGGAAGCAGGTAGGTATGCAGGTATTTAATCATTTTTTCTAAATAGATTACCCCCAAAATGTGAATTATATTTACTATCATTTATTATTCCATTTTTTAAGTGTGTCAGGAAATCATGTGATACTGAAACAGTCTGGAGAGGTAAGAGCGGATTAAAATAAGAGGGGGCTGTTTCTGCAGTGATTACTTTTGCTAACTTGTGTGGTTCTGCCAAACACAGGTTAGGGAGCAATCTTATGAGCAATTCAGCTGGCAGGTTTGGGTAATCCTCTGCAAAAGGAGAGCTGCTGGGCAGGCAGGAGGGGTTGGAACCTTTTCCAGTTCATAGTTGTAGGTATTTTTGTGAAGATATTATAGGAGGGAAGAGCACTGGAATTGTAGACTTGGGCTCTTGGGGTTGACAGTTTTGTTTCTGGCTTTGCCACTGATTTTTGGGGTACTTTTGAGTAGGCCCATTTCCCCAGAGTGAAGCAGATGAGGCATAAAGAATGTTCTCCTCCGGATGCAGCTTTCACTGTGTACCTCTTATTTCAGTAAAATAATGCATCAGGCGTAGTACAAAATATTATGAAAACATGTCACTTTCTTCCATTTTTCCAACAGCTGACATACAGATCATTCAACTCTTTCTGTGCTCCTATTTCCTACTGTCCCTCAATATGGTGGTATTATTTTTGTTTATTAACTACCAACAATAATAGTGAGCTATTTTGGGAAACTGTCAAAACTCTCTAATCTTCAACAATAGTTGTCTCATCAGTCTTATTTAGCCTGCATCTGTGTGATTCAAGGCTCAAGAGCAATGACAAGCTGCATATGAATTCTGTATTCATTAGTGATGGTGATCAAAATGCCTGTGTCCCTGCCATAGGGCTCAGGTGTGGAAGTCTGCAGGCTAATCCCACCAGCTGACATTCGGAGGTTTAATGACTCCATGGGAAGGTGACCACTTGCTGGGAGTTTTGTCGGCTGAACTCGGGCAGCAGACAATAGAGATCAAGCCAGACTATCAGAGTTAAGCTGGAGAGCCTGCCTGAGATACTTGAACCCCTGTTGGTGTCAAACACAGAGATTAAGTAAATGGGGAGGGGAAAAAAAATCTTGACTCGGTGAACAAAAATAAGTACTTAGTATTTATGTGCTCTGTGTATCTGTTTCATTACCCAGTGACAGTAACTGAGACTGTTAGTGGCATGTCTTCACTGCCCTCTCTGACAGTGCTCATGGCGATAGCAATCTCATGCTTTCCTTATGTACCTGTGTTATTGTCTTCAGAGAGATGAGTTTCCATGGGTAAATACAGGGTGTTAGTGCATACAGTCATCCAGAAAATAAAGGCTTATTGTGCCCTTTCTTATTTTTAGAGTAAAATTATTCTATGATAAGCTGGTTTCTGCTTGACACATTGGACAGTTAATACTGTTCTCATCTTTCACAGAATTGTGCCTTGGATTGATTTCCTTTGCAGAACTAGCATGAAACAGGAAACACGGGCTGATTTAAAATGTGCTAGCTAGCTGTGCTCTGGAGTGGGTAGGATTACTGGAGAAGTGCTCTGAGGTGTGCTTTTTGAATATATCACAGCACAGTCTCTGTGCAGGAATCGGGTGGGAAACTGCCGACAGCATCAGTCTGAGTTACCCGTGATGCCCAATAGCACTTTCTTCTAGTTTTCTGTTTACAGACTGTATCGAGGGAAATAAATTCTACCTGAGTTTAAATTGGGCCTTGCTGCATGACAAAGAGCAACAATTTCTTCACCTTTATGAAAGTAACACTTAAACTTTGTATGTAATAATGTAGACAAGCCAGCCAGAAGCAGGGCTCCATGTTAAGAGATCATTTCACTGCACAGGGTAGATGTAGGACAGGTAATTATTTTTGATGCATTTCTCGGGAGCAGATGTTCCAGTTTAAATTGTTTCAGTTTGTATATCTCCCGTAACTGCGGAACACGGGCAGAACACACCGGAAAATATTTCACATGGCACAGAACCTGAGGGCTGCGGAGGCAGAGAAAGACTTTTGCCTGAGCAGGGAAGAGGGAATGAGAGCAATGTAGAGGGTGGGAGCCAGCCTGGGCTGTGGGGGGTCTCTCCAGCCAATAAGTTGTATGGAGCAATTTGGGATATTGGGAAGGAAAAACTACAGGGGGCCCAGGACTTCTTTTCCCAAATAAAATGCTGAACTTCATTCCCTTCCATCCTTTTTCCAGAGGGATAGTCGGATGAACGGAGATTTGCGTTATTTGAAGTAGATGTGTTATGGATGGATATAATTCTTTTTTTTTATATGGAATAGTAATATATAGGAATTGTTATATTTTGTGTGGTTTACATACCTGGTTACTTCCTGGTAGCTGAGGCTCAGTGTGTTACTGCACAATAATGCAGCTGTACAGAAAACTTGAGGATATTGTGCTGTTGGAGCAGAACTTCCAGCCTGGCAGAATTTACAGCTCTGTTACTGCTGAGCAAGTTCTTTTATTCTGAGAATTACTTCCCTAAAAACCCCATGACCTTCACCCAGACGTAAGAAGCGATGGATGAAATGAATTTTCATTCTTCGTTCAGAGCATGGGAATAGTATTAGAAGAAATCCCATAGTTGTGAGAGGAGCTTGTAATTTAGTTCTGTACCACTGGAAATATGTATTGTAGTTATCTTTGTGTAAGGAATGACACACAGGAACTAATGTTATTGAATAGTAGTTCCAAATCGTAAGTTTCTTGCCTTGGCAGGTAATTTGGCATAAATTGTTAATGTAAATCCAGGTTAGTGGGGAAGACATTATTTTACTAAAAAAGATAAACTGCTGATTAATTCAGTATAGAACTCAATTACAAATTGAAAGTGTCTCTGCGGGACGCCAGTACCCTAAAGACAGCAGATGTTGAATTGATACTCCAGCATATTTCACACTGGTATGAAATATTAACATGGTTTATTATACTTGTGTGGTGTATGGTATCAGAAAGGGGGAGGTGATGATGAGTCTGGTTGCAGGCATCTACCATCAGAACACACAAGAACTGTAATCGCTGAGAACAATAATTAGGAGCTAAGGTGCATTTTATTTGGAAAGGTCTTAATAGAAAACAGTTAGAAAAATAAACATTTACTTGCATATTATTCACAACAAAAGTGACACACAATGTACTAAAGAATTACCTGATCTATGAATGAATATAAGGATGTTTGTGTAAGAACTCAGTTGCTGAGTTTCAGCAAGACTGCTGCTCAGTGTTGTGCTCACACTTCTTTTTGTGTAGTTTCCTGCCCATGCTATGCTTTTGCTGAAGGTTGTTTCTTCCTAACTGTTCTGTAAATGAGATTATTTTATGTAAAGTAGGCAGCACATTAACCTTGATGTGTTCATAATCCAGGGATTTAAGCAAGTTGGGGTTTTGCCTGTTCCTGTGCTGTGGTGGTGGCGGCGGCACAGGCGCTGTGGGCTCTGCATTTGAGAGAGTGCCCAGTGAGGAATGGAGGAGGAGTGCAGTGTCACAAGGAAGTACAGGAGTGTGTGTAACTGAAACTGGCCTGTGCTCTTTATTTTTACTTTTAAATACAAATCCAGCTCTGAAATATTAGTTAGAATTTAGACAAATGTATTTGAAGTCACTGCTCCAAGCAGAAGTTCCACAGCATTTGCACAGGATGTGTTCTGGAGAGAAAATTCTAATCATATTTAATATTAAGCCTTTGAGTCCTTGACACTGTTCATTGTGCAAATACAGAGTCATCTGCTTGCCTTCCTGCAAGTGAATGGAAGTAATGTCTCGGGATTTGGAGCACGTCAGTTTCTTGTAAAATAAGGTTGTGGAAGCAGAA